AAGCGCGCACCGTAACTACCAACTTCCACGAGATGGAAAAGCCTAAATAAAATTTATATTTATATCATAAATTTAAAAAGAAATAAAGAAAATAGTGGGAAACAGAGATGAAGCTTTGAGACATATAAAACTGTGTGCAATGGCATTGGTATGTGCACATCCGTCTTTCACCACAACCTCTTCCTATTTCCCCTTCCAAAGTTCGCATCAAGCCCCTTCCGATGAGTCGCAAAGCTCCAAATCACTGCTGACAGCTCCAAATCGGCCGCAAACTGCGCCAGGAATGGATCAATCGGGAGCTAAAAGGGCACCGAAGTATGTGAGGAGGGAAATCTCGCCGTGACATAGCGATCGGAGGGACACAGCGGAGAGGCAGCGAGGCCGGAAGAGGGGAGGGCTGCGCGGAGTGGTGTGCGACGCGATGGACTGGAATTGGAAAGCCGGGGCCCGCCATGGCTGCCTCGGAGTTGCGACACCCCTCGAGGGGAAGCGAAACCCTAAAAACAAACTAACGAACAAACAAACAACTCAATTTAAAAATTCTTTTCCAATGCCAAGTGTTATGTTTGCGGATCACTTGGCCACAATGTGTATATATATATATATATATATATAATCATGTTTATATTCATATTTACATATGTGTGAGTATCATATTTGTGATGAGTAATGTGTGTGTCAATGTGTTTTTGGAATTATAGACTTAATAGATTGTTATTTGAGTTATATCCATGGTTTGACTTGTTTGCAAGTACTTGTGTTATTTGTTTCACCTATTGTATATATATAAACATACAAATGAATGAAAACCCCGTGTGTATGATAATGTCTTGTTAGAAAAAACTCAAAGTATAGTATTCAAGAATTGACATTGATAATAAGAGTGTTATAGTTTCAGTGCAAAACACTTTTTAGCAACGTAATTAGAAATCAGAAAAAATATAGAAATAAATTTAAACAATCATCGTTCTTACCAACAATATTGCTTTCAGAAGCGAAAGGACCACCCCAGTCACAAAACCTTGATGTTTCAAATCAACAAAATTTAACTTCAGATTTAGAATTATAAAAACAAAAACATGCATAAATAAACAAAAGTGAAAAAAAAAAAAAAAAAAAAAAAAAAAACTCACACCATACTGTGCGGAAAGAGCCGCAAGCAGTTTCTGAGGATTCTTGCTTAAAATATCAAAACGAATTTTAACAATACTTAAGCGTCAGAGACTACAGTACAGTGAAATCACTTCAACAATACCCACACGATGGTTTATAAAATCATGTAGAAGGTTCAGATATATCTAAATATATAGTGACAAATAAATCGATTGACAGGTTGATTGTTCAATATTTATATGCTTGTGTTGTACCAGCAAGCAAAGCACACAAAGGGTTCGAAGTCTCAGTCGATGAGAGACAGAAGATTTTCTCGGAGCTGGATCCATGGCAAAACAATCACCAGTCGGCACCTCTCGGGCGTTCCATACCGACAAACCTATAACGGCACAAGGTGGCAGCGTGGATGTACCAGACTTCAAGCACGGCATCCGAAACTAGACCGCAATTGCAGTCTTTGACATTTCCATTAGAACCCAGCTAGGATGTCGATGTTGGTCCCAAGGGTGGACTGTGAAAGAAACACAAAAGCGCACTTGACTGATTTAAACATTCACCGAACGGACCATCTCCCGCAACAGAGCCGACAAGTTTGTGAAGGATCGGTTGGTGTACCTCAACCTGATCGAGGGTTGCAACTGGTGGTCTATCAGAAGAATAAATCCCCAAGTGATGACAACGCGATTTTTGCAGCGATCGGAACAGCAACTTTGGCCACTTGCATGCCAAGACTCGGCGCTGGCTGTGGTGGCATTGGTGATGCTGTTGGCGGCGGTTCATAGTATGGTTGTGGCGGCACGTGGTGTTGTGGTAGCGGCTTGTAGCGTGAAGGGGGTGGCTGCTGTCGTTGAAATTGCTTGTCTGGTTGTGCCCTCGAGGGCTGGTGCTGATGTCGAATCTCCGGTTTTGGTTGTGACTTCTGGGGCTGCGGCTCTACTACTTTCGATCCGCATGTTACAATTGGTACACAAGAGTCAGAGGGAGGGAGGCGACGGGTGCGAGGAGGGCTCGCAGAAGCCGCAGTCGGGGAGTCTCTGGAGAAAACCGGGCGTGGTTTCCCAGGCTGGCCAGGATACAAACGAGATGGCTGCGATTGTGGAGTCCGTTTGTTACCGCCACCTGGACTGCCAGGATGATTCCTGTTACTGGTGCTTTTTGGTGGCGGCGGTTTGTTGTTTTCAGCGCCGGGAATAGCTCCAAACCCATCAAAAAAATCTGAGTCAAGTCCAAAGTCCTCGTAAGGTGACTGCGACTGGGTTCCATAGCATCCTCCAACAGGGCTCCAGGGTTCTACGCTAGACTTGGAGCTACCAAGGCTACGGCTTCTATATTCGTCGTCGCGATTAGAGGAATGCTGGTGATCTGAGCGCAGTGGAAATGTTTGCTGACGAGAATAGGGAGATTGCATCTGTACCAGTATGAGTTGACCTAATTTAGCAACAATCAACAAGAAAAGCAAAATAAATAAATCAAACAGTTCAATATCTTCTGAAAACAACTTCACAGCAAGCAGCGAAGCTCATGGATAGAGTATGTTTTTACCGCCTCTAATGTGAGAGAGAGGAAAATGTAGCCCCCAAATTTTCCAGGGGTGCGCCGTGAAAGAAGAAACGCTCTGGAGTCCACAGTAGCTCCACTAGAAAACATTGTTTTTAAATCCAATCTGCAACTCTCATCAATTTGAAGGCGTTTGTCAATCACAGAAGGCATCTTAATTTTTAATGTAACACTTGACAAAGAGAGCACCTGGAAAGGCCGTCATGAGGATGAAGTGTTACAAGATGAATTCAAACAAAGCCATGCTGGAGAGTGGCAAATTGGCAACTCAGTAGAGTTTGCTGCGAAAGGAGGCAAGATTTACGTAGTTTGGCCGACCCGTCTGTAGCCCTTCTCTGGATGGAGGCTGAAAACGTGAACGATGAGAGCATTCGTGGATTGGTCAGTTTTGAACTCAAATGTTGTGTTGAATGAGGGTTTGGCACCAGCTCCTGTGCAGAAAGTGCCACATGACTGTGTGTCATCATTTGAGAAACAAAAACTTTCAGCTCTGAACAGGATCACAGCTTTGCCTCGAGTAGAATCCGTGAAGTTTTTGGTTCAATAACTATATGGGTTGGACGAAAACCTTTAGCAACATCGGTCTGAGAAACTTGACTCCCACACTGAAGAGTAACATATGAGGCCCCCTTTCCTACATCAATGAGCACTAAACACAGTGAGTACACATGCTATGGATGCATGTCGTTTATCACCATTTAAATAAAATGCATTCCGTTATGTACGCAAAGTTCAGGTGCACAATTTTCGAACAAACTACTTATTAAGCACACACTGAAATGAAATTTGCTAACAGTATCTTCGTACATGCATTTACACATTATCCCTGCAGTACTATTAAACCTAAAGTTTCGCAGGAGTGTGACACAGGGGGAATGCCCACCATCCAAGGATAGGTCTCTTATGCCATCAGCATACTTGATCGTTACAATTAACCTGCTGTAAGGCATGACACTCAGTCGGTCACCCTCACAAAAATTGTAGACTTCCGCCATCAGTTGGTGTGGTCTAGCGGTTATCACACAGCCAGGTACTCTCTGCAATCGTAAATATCCAGGCCTGGGCTGAAAGCTCGACTACTCTTGCATTGTTTTCTTTTTGATATTACTGTTTTTGAAGTGCATGTTATGCATGTTCATTCTCAAATATAAATTAACAACAATACGAAAAACACAGAATACATCAGTGGGATGCTACACTAGACTACAGTTGTAAAGTCAAATCCCGCCTTATTTACTGACGTGGAACATTGAGGATCTACTGCAATTCTAGTCGTATTCATTATTACTTTTCTAATTTACTACGAGGAGAGAGTGTAGACACATCAATATGGTTACAGTTACCTGAGGGAGAAACTACGAGTAGTTCAACAGAACATAACTTTACTGTACACGTATCAAAGACACATCCACACCTCACTTTTTTCAAGAGCACAAACTTCAATAGAACATAACTGAACACTGGAAACCTAGTTTAGATTGCATCTCCTTGACAACAGAAGAAGGTCTCTACAACCATGAACAGCACTACATTCACATGAAATAAAATCAAAACCAACTAGTACTGAGGGTATTTCAAATGAAGAATTACAACTAGCCCATGAAAATCAACTACTGCTGGTGATGGCTATTGTCGGCATACCACTACGCAATCCGCGAGGTTCCTGTCAGTAATCCTGAGTTTCCGCCCTCATTACAAGAAGTCCACGCCCACATGACATATTCAGTCTATTCGCAACAACTTTGAATGAGGCAGTGAAGGCGACCGACAGCTCCCACAAGCCCAATGGTCCTTCAAACTTACAAGCTCCTATGCATCACCTAAGTCAAGTTACTTCAAATGAAACCTTGTCCGAAAGGAGGTGAAGTTTCAGAATGGACGAGACACCGTGCCTTCGCAACCAAATCTACGGCACTCAGCTTGAAGAGACAACAATCGTTCGTAACACTCCCAACTAAACAAGAAAATAGCTCTCCAAACAAACCCTCCACAACAACAGTTCAAGGTGCGAGCGGTCCCTGCTCTACAAGAGCCGATCTAAATCGACCGATATGCATCCCGACGGCTGAACTATTGACGTCAACATACCAGAAAAGGCAAAAAAAGACAATATAAAACCATCGACACCCACGAACGCAAATATGCACGATTCGACCCATAAGCCAGATTCTTCAGAGAAAAGTATAGAGTTAGTGGGTAAGGACGATGAGGGATGTACAGGTAAGCAACATAGACAGCCGAGATCAGCTTCAGATGGAACAGATGGAGAGGCGATTGTACGGTGGAGATGCAGGGGTGTCCTTGAAAGTCAATGTACATGCCGGGGAATTGACTTTCGATCCCATCGTGTCAGCTAAACTGTCGGCGCGGTATTTGGATATTGGCATCTAGACCACCAGGTCAACCGGCGATGGCGGGCCTCGCTCCCGGGCTCTCGCTCTGACACAGCCCCGTCTGGCTTCCCCTGCCACCGAATGGATGTTTAGTGGATAGACGTAGTTATCGTATTTCATTGATCCAGTGCGACGTCGGGCAGCGGGCCACTTTCTTGGATGGGTTTCAAATTGGGTGTTTGCTAATTCCACCATAGTTTTTGCTACTGCCACCCCAACTTTTCCTCCAACTAGTTGTTTCAGAACAAAAGAAGGCATTTAGAGTGCCAATAGTGCAATTGTTAGAAGAAAATTAGTCTAGATAAGTTAAGAGAAGGCAAAATAGTTTTAGTAGAGAAAATGCAATTTAGTATAAAAAATCTATTAGAAATCCTCATTATAGAAGGTATCAATGAAGCATCAATTATAGCATCTTAGAAGCATCAATTGGAAGCATCTATAAAAAATATAAAACTTTCAAATTTTTAATATTATATGGTTCAAATATGATTGTATATAATCCAGATATGTATACAATCCGGATATGGTGGTAGATGTAGTAGTAGGTTTTGTACAAGCTATTGTCAAGGACAAGAACTCGATGAAAAAACAATTCAGACAAGTGAGCCTTCACTCAAAGAGAGGTAACAAAATATATATAAATAAGTATATATATTGAAATAGAAACTGGAATGGCTATTGCCAAAAGACAAGAAAACTAGAGACCCTTGAAACTAGACTAGAAGCAAGAAAGGAGTTGACAAGAGTGAAGAAGCCTTCACTCTTGTCTCTATATATACTATCTAATTAGGGGCTACGTGGCGACGTTCTATAGGACCTCCAATATGTGTTGACTTTGTAGGACACATGCCTTGACTTACAAGGCAAGTTTTTCTACGTGTGGGCCACATAATTAGCTTGATCTTCAAGCTAACAACATGTGTGGCACATGGCCAACTTGTTGACCACGTTTCTAATCCAAAAAGTCAATTAAAGACACTTATGAAGTCAAAGCAGTGTCTAGGAAGCTTCTAAAATGTTTCTATATTAAATATTATAGAATTAACTTACTTTTATCTACTTTTACTTACTTCTACCTATTTGTATATGTAATTATTAGCTTACATGATTATGGCCGTGACATTATCCCCCCCTTCTAGAGACGAGTTCCACGAGGAGCGGTCATCATATGTTGAAAAAATCTATGATGTGACAAATTGTATTCGCTACATACTCTAATCTTTGTTCTCTTCGAAGATGATTGATAGGACCTCTCAACCATCGGTAGTGTCCCATACCAGGGCGAGAAGACCACCCAATTATTTGATCATTGTTGAGGCCTTCGTAACTTCCTTCAAATAGAATATTTGGAACACCATCAGGAGTTGTTCCTACCTCTAGCAAAATCACCAAACATCGGGAGTCCCTTCCCACATCGTGATACCAAACGCGTTGTACCTCGCCACCTATTCGAGGAAGAACATGTCGTTCTTGAAGATCTTCATCTCGATTACGTCGTCTTGAAGGTTGTGACAATCGTAATGTCTCGTCCGACACGTCAGTAAATGAAGGCTCTTGAGTTGAATCCGTTGGTTGTTGGTTCTCCATCTCTTGAGCATCACTACTACAACGAAGCTACGAACAAGAATTGAAAGTAGATTGTTATCTTGCCTAGATGTTGTTTCTTTTATAAAGAAGGTTTTCATCTTAATTTTAATGGATGTCGTCGATGAAAAGCCTCCACCGCTTTTGTTGCATTTGCAAGATGGAGATTGGCTCCCATGTGCGTTC